AAAGGCAGGAAGGATGACACAAACATCCACATGCTGAACTGAGGGGGGCCCATGCTGGGGGTCCGTTTCCACTAGCCAGTATCAACCCGCAAAGTGGCTTTGTCTAAATGAATGTTTTTCACCTGGGTCCCAGGCATCCTGCTGGGCATTGCTGCGCTTTGGAGCCATGGCACCCAGATCCAAATGCAAAACAAATCGCTTGTCTGTCTAAATTGTGAACCTGCGAAAACAGAGGTCACACCGGCGAATCGAAATCAACGGAGTGAACGGACTGCTGCAAAATGCTGACCTCTAGGTGCGCTCCGGCTCACCCAAAGACAAACTCCAAGCTGACTTCCAAGCAAACCTGAACGTAACCTCGGAATAACATCAAAAGGAACTTCAAGCTGACTTCAAGCTGACTCCAAGGCGACCTTGGGATTACAGGTCAACTTCAAGCTGACACTAACGCAACTTCGTGACCGGAAGCCGCCCTCAAGGTGACCACCTCGAGCCAACCTCGAGGTCACCTCGCGGTGACCTGCTTCGGTCTTTTCTCCATCTCTTCATGGAGCAATGCCTGGGGTCAATCACGCTCCAAGACAAACATGAAAATGGATGAGCACGTCCCAACGATGGCTGGGTTATTTGACATGCTGAACCCAGGAAGAAAGTGAGCTAGAGCGACATCACTTTTAGGACGCGAAGGTGCAGTCTAAACAATATCTAAGGTCCGGGCCACTCCTTCACTGTCAAATTCTCTTCACCAGAGCGATATCGGCCGCAACAGACATAGAAAATTAACAATGGGGTTAAGGCGGGGCTTCAAGGGCGGCTTCAAAGGGGCCAGTTGATGCCGCCGGCCCCGATGCGAGTGATGTGCGCGCCCCTAAAGCAAGACGTATCGTCCATCCAGCCAACAGCAAATCGGCGGACGAATGGGTCATCGCACTTTGTGACAGCCGAGCCAAATTCCTGGCCACCACAGCGGTACCAGAAGACCCTGCGGAAGCGATAAGAGGCGGACTAGTTCTTACCCCTTTACTCGGATGTAAGGCCAAGACCCCACTAGACTGGACACATGCCTGGGCAATGCTAGGGGAATGGGCTGAGAGTGGCCGCGTCACGGAGATGGTCGATACCTTCGGCCAGACTTTGTCCAGCGAACCCCGCCCTTCCTCACATGGGCCCGTCCCATCTTCGAGCAAGGAGCGCTCTCCCCCATGTCGGTCTTCCCGGCCCACTTTCCCATCCTCTGCCTTCCAGGAGACAAGTTGTTCCAAAGCAAAGAGTTAGACGATGGGTACAGCCTTCCGCCCGTTGTACATGCCTTCCATGGGAGCAAAGTTGGCCTCGGACAGAAGCTCCAACAGTGGCAAAGTAAAGGGCTGCAACCACTTGCCGTCTCGCTCATAGGGGTTGACAAAGCACCACCCTCCTGGACACACCCCACAGGCTGCGATTTCGTCAGAGGAAGTAAACTGGTAGCAAAACCGCAAGTTGCACAACAGCGCAGCCTTACTAAGACGCAAGTATTGCTACTCCAAAGTCTTTGGACGCCAGTGGATGTCCCCAATTGCAACAACAACCACACACCCTGGCCCCAGACCTGCCAATCCGCCCACGTATTCTGTGGACAGCAAGCCAGCCTGCAACTGCCCACCGCCCAAATCCTCCCTCTACTTGAGGCATTACAAAAACGGCTGGGAATTGACCCTAGCAACGCAGAGCTGGCCATTAATGAAGTTCTTGCTAGCCATGCTGACCCTCAGTACACGGATTGGAAGATCATTATCATGGATAACACTGCCTGGCAACTCAATCCCGCTGACCCAGGGTCCCTGGATGTTCAGTGCACTGGATTGGGTGGAGGAGAACTTGACCAAGAGTGGGAGGTACTGTTGGCTTGCAGGAAAGAGGCACATGTCTATGGACCATCACTCAGCAAGCAGGATGATTGGAATACAAGAGCTGGCACAATTGCAGGTACCGCTCATACCCAAGAATACCTGCTACTGCATATTGCCATGTTCCCAATTGGTGTCCACACCTGGTGCCATGTTCTCGGAATGCCGGACGCCCACCAACTGCAAGCACAGATCATCAGCCGTGCCATGAAGCTCCTGCGTTTCTGTCCCATTACCCCGGCACACAGGAAACCACCATGGCCAGGGTACAAGCACGGCCTACGACTCTTTACCAAACTGCTTGTTGCGCACCCATTAGTCGGAGTGTGCCTGCCCCCTGAAATCCGTCCTGCGGAATATCTTAAGTTAACAGGCTACATGGTCGGCTCCCTATTCATTCGAGGGCACAGTGCAGGCTCCTATGCAGGTATGGTATGGGAGGCCATCCTTGCAGAGTTCCCAGACATTGAAGGCAAAACAGTGTTAGCAGCCATTGCCCTGCCGCCATCGCTCCTGACGACATCAAGATTGCCCCATAGTAGACAGGTACACCTCATCCACCATGCAGACGACCGACTTTGCGTCTGGAACCCGTCCAACCAGGACATGAGGATGCTTCAAAAGGCTTCAACACCAGGGGTTTACGATCACACATATCACAGGGTGGCGAGCGTACCTGGGTACTGCCCAACACAACTACCCGCACTGGACACGAGTCACCCTTCCACCGGGACGACAGGACCTAGCCAAGTTGGAAAGTTCCCCAGGTGTGCTCCCATTTGAAGTCTACTCGCAAGCCCCGCTGCGTTTGATATCATGGTGCAGTTTTGAGCTCCCACAGGCAGCCAAGCGCCTCCTACGCCCGAGACCACAACTCAAGCACTGGTCAACCATATTGCCATACGCAATTCACAGGTACGGACGGAGCAGGATGCAACTCAATATCTGGCCTCACTGGCGACAGTCAGCATCGCGTCCAGAGCCAAACTGCTCAATTACACAACCATGGTCCAACACTTCCTTGGCACCCTACAGCTGCCCATGGCTGTTTACATGCTAGATTATTATCTGCCAATGCTCAGCCCCAATGAAGGCTACAATGAGACGGGACTTACAATGCAGAGCGCTGGTCCCATTCGTGAGCCATGGCAGCCAATTGCATTCGAATTTCTTTTCAAAGGCAGCGAGTTTGGACACTGGAGAGTAAAAGGAGGACAAGATGCTTTTGCGTTCCGACACCCGAGCCTAGGCCAAACGGATGTCTACCACCTCCTGGCGAGTGAAGCACATCACCATAAGGTCAGCCCCATAGGCACTGGGAGGCTTGTTGCAATGGTAGGAGCCATAGATGCCCCAGCGAGCGACATCAGAAACCTTCAAATCCTCTTTGGGCTGGTCCTTGCTATCACGCCACGCTCATCCAAAAATAAAAACGAACTACCTGCCACCCGCATACACGGGCAGTGCAACCCCAGAGCCATCGAAGTAGCTTTTCTCTCAATGCCAGCCATCAATTTCTTTGCCCAGGAACAACTCCTAGTACTTCAAGACTGGTACCTTGCCTCTGGCCAGAACCTGGAACCCATAGATGCCACAGCCAGGGATGACAGAGGCCCACTCCCAGGCACCTTTTTCCTCCATACTATGTGGATGTTTGGATGCACCAAGCCCACCAGCGAGGTGACTGCTGTTGCGCAGACACCCCCCTGTAGGTACCACCTTGGCCTGGGCATCTACAACGTTCAAACAGCAGTTGAAGGGATGGATGGCAACAAACGATCACACATGCTGCATTTGTGCGGGCAATTGTTGCGCCTCGTCCTCATCCCATGTCATGTGGAGGGAGAACCCTATCAGCTACACTATGCTATGTGTTAAGGAGGTGAGGGAGACGCAGGACCGCGTGCCAAAAGAGAAAATAACAACATCCAACATTGTTTCACACGAGAAATCGGGGAGAGAAAACCAAGCACAACCGAAAACTGCACATGCACTGAAAAACCTGTAATGACTCAACGACTGAACTCTGCCAAATGAACTCTCAGTTGAAACGCACATCTCCCCTTTTTCAAACGGTGGTGATGTCCTGCGCTGTCCTGGCTTGACACCTTCGCTGTCGCCAGAGCGCCTGAAACTGTCGGACCGCTCCAACAGTATTGTGCAGCAAGCCAAGGGTGTGGCCAACAATGTGTCGAACGTAGCCTCCCCCACAAATTGAAAAGGTGTAAAGCCACTGTAGTGCAGGAATCACCCTCCACAAACCCAAATCAGGGTCTGGGAGGGTGGGTAACTTCAAATCTGTGAGCCTGCGCTCCTCGAAAATATGTATTGAGTTCCAGTGTCAAATCGACATCTGACAGAAAACGAACTGACCAGCAACATTCCAGCAGATTCAAAGTGTTGTAAATCTGATATCCAAAAGTGAACTTCCAAAAGTCATCTTCCAGTAAGCCTGTAAAGTCAACGTATTGTATTGTAGTCCCAGTACCAAAACTGAAACAGTTGCAGGAAATCCCAGAGCAACATGACAGAAATAAACAGCACCAAAAGTTTAAGTGTTTGTGTTTGTAGTTTGTGAACCCAATCGCTACAAATGCAGTTGCCACAACCCACGAAGAAAGCGTCTACACGCACAAAGTCCCCACCCACCCACCCAACACATAGCACCGTATAGACTCACGGGCGCGCCCTATGAAGCCTACACTATGCTATGTGTTAAGGAGGTGAGGGAGACGCAGGACCGCGTGCCAAAAGAGAAAATAACAACATCCAACATTGTTTCACACGAGAAATCGGGGAGAGAAAACCAAGCACAACCGAAAACTGCACATGCACTGAAAAACCTGTAATGACTCAACGACTGAACTCTGCCAAATGAACTCTCAGTTGAAACGCACATCTCCCCTTTTTCAAACGGTGGTGATGTCCTGCGCTGTCCTGGCTTGACACCTTCGCTGTCGCCAGAGCGCTTGAAACTGTCGGACCGCTCCAACAGTATTGTGCAGCAAGCCAAGGGTGTGGCCAACAATGTGTCGAACGTAGCCTCCCCTTCTTTAGCGACGATTTGTTGCCGCACCCATCACCACGGTGTCTTATCATACTTTCTCTTCTTACCTGGTGCTGCCTGCTTGTCGAGAGTCTTTGCCTCTTGTCTCGCAGCATCAAATTGGGACTTCGTCCTCCACAACGCCTCAACCAAAGAAAGGTCCAAATCCTCAAATTTCACATGAACCCTGGCTTCCAAAGAAAAACTCTCAAACTGCCCATTTGTCAGCTGATCTGCTTCCACGTTCTCTTCCCGTGGGCGCCACTTCAAATTCAAGCTCAGCCTTGCCCTGGCCAACAGCGCTGATAACTGCATATTGATCAACATGAGGGGCCATTTCGTTGTGGCTCTCTTTGAACTCAAAAACTCATTGGCCATGTTATCAGTACCTGCAGAGAGAGCCAAGGCCACTGTACGCCTCGCTGACGTAGGGAGAAGCCAGTCAAATGCAACCAGGGCGCAAAGCGAAGCTAAGAGCTCCGCTGAGGTCGACGCCCATTGCGCGCCGCCTCCATCAGGTTTGAACAGATAGGGAACCTGTGTCCTATCAAGCTTCAAAGAAAACCAACGTCGAGACTCCAACTCCCAACCTCCCAAAACTATAATGTCATGGGTGCACTTCGCGTCAGTCCTGAATTGCTCAGCGTTGTAATAGACAGGTCTCTTTGCAGAAATTAAGAAGGTTTCACCGGACATCTCAGCTGCAATGTATTGTAATGTCAAAATGACATGGATATGTTATCCATATTTGAATCCAACATCTGATGGTCGCAATTTCCCCCATCAGTAAGCGAAAGCAGAGGAATAGGTGTCGGAAATATGGAAGTATGTTCCCATATTACCAAGCAACAAAATTTCATGGTTGTATCGGCAGTGGCTGCCGATTGAAACAATTCAGTGGCTGAAGTGATTTTCATTAAATGAAAATCAATGAAACATACTGGCTGACGCTGGAGCATGCAATGAAACGAAAGGGAAAAGCCTGAATGGCCAAGATAATGGGTGAAACTCTGCGATCGTAGAAAGTTGAACCTATTATAAAATAACTTCCCCCATAATATAAGGTGTGGGAGGGAGGGTAAAACAAAATAAAGCACAAAGCATGGAAGCCAACTTGAGCCAAAATGGTACATCATAAAAGATGAAGTCCCCCTACAACCAAAACATTAGTGAACAAGTACACTACACGTTCTGGTTCAAGTTGGCTTCCATCTAATCAAATATATATATTATTTATATATATACAATAATTAAATAATATATATATATATATCACGAATATGCCGATCGCAACGCAAATCTTCAAATCTGAAACTCTGAGACCGCAATGGGGATTTCCCTCTCTCTTTTTCGACTGCCTTGATTATGTCCAAGCAAAGCATCCATGGATATGTTATCCATATTTGAATCCAACATCTGATGGTCGCAATTTCCCCCATTATCTATCTGACTGTTGGGATTCAAACGCAACATCCAAGGGCCAATAACAAGTGTTGAATATCAGCAGTCTAAAAAGAGAGGGAAAAATAGATTCTGCTACGGGAGTTGCCATAAAAGGAAGGTGTCTGCCGGATGCAATGAAACGGATGTTTCAGGATGCCACAATTGAGTTAAAGAAATGGGAAATCGATTGTGGAGAGCATGATTGAAGGGTGGCTCACTCACGAAATCCCAACGGCTCAATGCATCTGCTTCTTCGTTTCGATCTCCAGAAATGTGGGACAGGTCTAATTCCATACCCGATATGGTACATAACAATGTCAATCGCTCCAGGAAATGGTTCAAAGGAATGGTAGTGGAGAAAAGTTTGTTTCCTCCTGCCTCTGCACCCGTGTTGTCAGTCAAGGACGGGATTCTCAAGGGGAAACGAAATCCAGGTGAGCTGCGGCTGAAAATGAATAAAATTGCAATCTGTGCCAATGTCTCAAATGACGCAATGCATTTTTGCATGTCTTCTGTCACCGGGATATTCAAGTCGACAAATTGTTGAAATTCAAATTTTTCGCTAAACCAAATTTGAGTTCCAGAAGGAAATCGGATGAAACCTCCAATTTGGCAAATATTTTTGGATGCCATGGCGTCAGCTGCACATTCACCCATCCAAAGTGTTTTTGGTCGTAAACATTTGATCAAGGAAACAGATTGAAGCCAGGCTGCATACATCTTCAAAATCCGGTGAGAGTCCGCACTTAAGGGTCGTTTGATGGAGGATGGATCACGGAGGCGTAGCCAAGTTCGACGTTCAGATAGATAAATTTGAAAAAGGTCAGCTTTGCAAGAGACAGCTTGATGTCGAACAGCTAGTAGAGTGCTCCCAATGGGGATGCCTGTCCCTGTAGGTTTACGGACAAATTGCAGATTGTCGTCCATGCATTCAATCACGTGTTTCCAATGACCCGGATCGATACTGTAATGACTTGCAGGAATATGAAATAAATCCCGGTAAAGGACCGGGAGCCAACAGCGCATCAATAAAAATATTTGTGTAATCCAATTGAGCAGTCCCACCAATTTCTCCAATGATTTTTTGGAGGTCCGAGAGGATCTGAGCATCGAAGAAATATATTCAGAGAGCTTGTCGATCTTATTGGTGGGTAAGCTGGTGTAGCCTGCAGTAATATGAAATTGCCATCCGATCCATTGGACTCGAGGGCCAAATTCAGTTTTGCGCCAAGAAATCGGGATGTTGAGCACTTGTGCAAAAATACAGCAAATGCAAGCCATGATCCAAGCTACGCTCTTGGGAAAAAGGAAGAAGAAGTCATCTACGTAGATGAATCCAGCGTGCGACCACCACAGCAGGAAGTGGATGCACCTCAAAATGAAGCTGCCCATACGAGTCCAGTGATATGCGCTGAATGTGGCCCCGAAAGGGGCTACTTTATAAAAATATATGTCATTGTCCAGAGTGAATCCCAGGAGTCCGCGATCGGTCTCTTTGATGACCACCAACTTGTGAGCAGATTTAATGTCGAGGGAAAATCCCACCAGGGGGTCAGAGGTGTTCCTTAACGGAAAGACCCGCATCACATCTTGAGCACTCGGCAATGTAGTCCTCTCAGGTATATGACAGCGGCTGTTGACTCCGCATATGGAAGAGTCTACGACTAATCATGGTGGTCTGTGGTCACTGGTGGCCAATCCAAGGCGGCCAATGGCCAGTTTGGTACCAAATTCAGCTTGAGCGTCCTCCAGTGATCCTTGGTACTTGAAAATCCAGCCCTTCTGAAGTTCCTGATCAACTAACTCCCTGGTGGTTGGTAAATCTGATTCTGCCGACTGCCAGTTGGTCTGATGAATGGAGAGAGGAATTGAATCATCAGTTTTGTCTTCTGCAATTGGAAAGCATCCCGAAGGGGGGATATCATCGTCAAAACCAGTGGGAGCCCCCTCTCGTAGCATGGGAAATAAGGTAGAGTCCTTGTCGCCCATGATTCTCGACAGCGCGGCCATGATCTCCAGATGCATCGGTTGATCCGAACGTATGGACCAGTCAGGGATCATGTCATGTTTTTGGATAAACTCAGACAAGCTCTGTTTAAATGGCTGGATATCCTGATCATTAAAAGGAGGCTGAACATCACCGGAAGCAAAAAATGTTTTCAATTTGTTCACTAAACCATTTTTCAAAACGATTTGTACCCATTGTTGCCTCAAATCGTGGAAACAGTCTGGGACGGAGCGATGTGGTCGACTCCAGTCAGGTTCCGAAAATAATCCACCACCGTCTTCATAACTCACTGGAAGTTCATGCAGCTGTTTAATAGGAATATGAGCTTGAGCAGCATCAAGGTCCAATAAACACCGCTGAGAAGGAGAACACAAGGGGGCAATTAAGCCCGCAATGGCTTGACACATTTCAGTAGGGTATTCGGCCGTGGCTCGACTTTTGTAGACACCTTCAGCCGTCCGAGCTCCCGCAATTTGCTCATGGGTGCCCGCAGGGTGTTGGCACTTGGAACCCAATGATTTCATAGCTGGGTAGGTGCATGCCAAAAGCCAGCTCTTGTACCAGTTGCGATTGTATGAGCATGCTGGAAAATTCACTAAAAACAAGGCACAAAATTTTATGAAACGTCTCACAATGGGTTCCAACCAGGCCATCGAGTTTGTAGGTTGCTCCAAGTGACCGTGTCCCCCAGCTGCGAATATCAATTCCAAGCACAAAACACTCCTGGCCATTAAGGTTCAGATTGGGAAGGCCATCCAAAAATGTTGGCGTTCTCAGTGCTGGAGGACCGCCGTCCCTTAGTTTAAGACGGCTATACTCGCCACAGTTAGGGGCTGCTGCCCCATAACCCACCATACCAGATGAGCAGATCCTCAAAAGAGGTTCGAAAAAAGAGTTATCCAATAAGTCCATCTTGGCATCAATCAACATGTCCACCGGAAAGCAAATGCATTCATGTTGTAACATAGCTTCGGTCAATGGGTATCCAGCACCCGCGCAAATATCCAGAAAAATTCGGGATCCTTTCAATGGTGAAACATCCACAGAGGTTTGAACCGAGTGTGGGATGGTGAAAGCGTCAGCAGCTGTTGAATTCGAAACCGTGGTGTCTTCCATTTTGGAAACATCTGGTAACGTGTCTTGTAATGGAGTGGGTTCTCCATCATAGTGAAACTCCTCTTGCTGGTCCTGAGGCTCTGTAGTCCGTGTTGAAATGGTCGAGAGTCAGTGGGGCTGCTGTTGATGGTCAAATGCACTATGCGGTTGTCCACAAGCTTGGCCCGATGCTAAGGGGTATGCACATAGGTGCTGGAATCGGCATGTATCTCCTTTCTGGCATTTCCCCGATTGAAACTGCATACACAACTGTTGACGTTTGCCCTGGACCGTCACTTCAGTGACCCATGTAGGGCGAGACGTTGATTCGCCCTTTTTGCCCGTCTGCTTGCCCTTGCCTTTGGACTTTCCACGGCCCTTTGCAGTCGGTGTCGGTGCACTGGGATGATGTACTGGTGGAGGCTTGGAGGTCACCTTCGGTCGAGGCTGGAGCAAGGATGCCATGTCCGAACGCAAATGGGTCACTTCGTGGATTGCATTGTCCAAAGTAAACTGTTGATCCAAAACCAAATCATGAATCAATTGCCACAAGGCTTTATCAGCAGCTTGGGCTTCGAGCACATTGGGTGGACGAAGACCTGAATCCCCTTCGAGGCGTTGGGTCATGTAGCTCATGAATTTCAATGAATATGCACGGAGTCGTTGGAGATGGCAGGAACCCACCAAAGCAAGTGCTATGTTATGAACATCCAGCATATTCCTGATAGCATTGACCCCCATCCCTTGATTATTGATGTCAAGGGATGGGGGCTCATCTCAAAGAAGCTGATGTAGTTGAAGGCCTTCGATTTTTGGAACTTTAGGACGTTGGTATATAACCATGTCCTCCAGCCTGGCTTGTGTCATCCTGAATTTCCACGGGATCCATCGATATTCTTGCTTGCCATGCTGATGATGGGCAAGTGACAGCAAACGCGTGGATGGCATCGTTTCCGGCGTAAGAACTTCACTTGGGTAGTCCACCAGAAATTGCTTTTTGAGCTTGGCAACTGTACTCGGTTGAATTTTTGGGGCAAAAGATTCTGCCCACGAGCCTTCCTGCGGGACACCCGCTGCTGATGCCGCCGCACCAGTTTGTAACTCACGCCCCGGTAGCACAGCTGCCGTTTGAAGTTGTTGCCATGCAATTTTCAGGTTGGAACGCTGCACCAGCGAAATGGGGCTTTCTGATAACTCCGTTCATATTTCATCGGTAAAACCAGAAATGGAGTCCACAATAACTGAGAAGTTTTGGGTTGTCCATCCATTCTGTACCATATGATTACTCAACGCTGGATCCACGCCATGTGTTGCCAAATGGTCTTCCAGTTCAGGAAGTGCCATGGTCACGCCCGTAATGGCGAGAAACGCAAATGCCCAAGGGCAAATCATGAAAAAGAAATTCATGAGTCAAAGCAGGTGGGATGTCAACGATATGATGACACCCATTTTTATAGATGAAATAGGGAGGTTATATATAGATATATGGAACATCACTGCAAATGATTATGTGAAAAAATCCGAATGAGTGTCCAGCCGGTCACCTGGGTCTTGAACCGCATGAGCGACTCCGAGAAGAACACTAGGTTCAGTTGACGCGAATGAATGCGACAGCAAACGTTAAATAATATTTTGCCATGACATGTGAAATGGGTCTGCAATGAATCTGTCACGCTAACAACAAGAAAATGCTTATGGTGTCTTGGGATTTGACTGAGCGGCAAGTAATGCCCATCTTTTTCTTTCTGAGGAGACGACAGTCAGGGGTTCAGAGCACAAACTTGCTGCCAACGCTTGAAACAAGCTGCATGCCGGCACATTGCCATTTGAGGATCAAGCTGGGTATCAAAAACGCAATCATCACGCGGAAGTCTGGCCCCACAAGCTGCGCGAAAGTGCCGGTCTTCCCAAACCGGCTGATGAGAATCAGTTGAAACTATCATCATATGCTGGATCTTCGTGATCCGGGCCACTATGAGTTCATCCGTCTCTCCAATGTCAATTTGTTTGGACACTGAGGATGATGCTGATGAGGAAGAACTCGAACTGGAGTCTGATGAATCTCCATCGTTGGAATCAGCCTGGCTCAGCACGGACGGTTCCTGAGGGGCCGGGATCCCTTCTAAAATGGGATCATGACTCGCTGCATTAAAAGGCAGAAAAAGCCATGTGTGATCTTGATAGGCTTTGCGAAACTTCTCCAAGGATACTGCAGGTTCCTGAATAGGCTTCTGCGACCCCCGGTGCAACGGTGTTACAAACCTGTGTCCTTTTTGGACTTGCAGTATCAGAGTGTTCTGTAGAGCCAGTTGACCTGCGGTGTCATCACGGCTGTAAAGCCTCATGCTACCCTTACGGTGGTGTCCTTGCAAATGGCGTTGCTCTTCTGTAACCACCCCCTGTTGGGCAAGTTGGTTAGACCAACTCAGTGTTGTTGTTTTCAAAGAATGCAAAGTATAATCACCAGGATTGGCAGAATCCGGTACTGCAGAATTCTTCCAAGGCAAAGTGCAGAAATATCGAAGCCAGTGCAATGCTTGTGAATATGGCATGGGCACTAATGGATAGGCAAATTGTTCATCCCGTGTCATGGGCAGCAAAAAATCTGCATCCGACATTGCATTATGAGCTCGGGACCATAGGGTGTCCAGCGCGACCAACCATTGTGCCACCCAAGACCATTCTCCATGAGACAAAAAGCCTCTAGCTTGAATTGCCCAAGGTTGTCCTGTCTTCGATGTTTTTGTTCTATAGCATGAACCCCGCAAGGCAGTAATGCACCATGAAAGTGAATGCAATGAAATCCGCTGTCCATCTGCGAATCTCAGGCCACCCCATAACATACAGAGTAGCCCTCCAAGCAAAATCTGTTCTTGCAATGTGCACTCTTTCATGAGAAGCCGTCTTTCCCATTGAGAAACCAAAAATAAGCTGAGTGGAATTGATTCTCTTCGCTCGTGGCTATTAGAACTGAAAAAGGAGTTGATGACTGGGTCATACAACATCTGCCAGGACGATACTAAAAGTAGCTTCTGAGCCCAGCGCAATGCCTTGATGGCTGTTGTGGCCCCGAAACCCCATTCCGAGTTCTTTCCTTCATGAGCGATCTGCAAAAGATCTGAAAGGTGATGGCTACCAACGTCATCCCAGGTCCAAGAGAAATCCACAAGAATACTGTAAATGCATTGTAACGTATTGATATATTTGTGCAGTGTAGATGGAGCAAATTTCTCCAAAAGCCGTTGACAGTGAAGGTCAAACTGTTGAGATGTATGGTAGTCCTGCCAAATGGTAGATAAGGCCCCGACACTGTGTACCAGCAGCATCCATCTGGCAATCAAATCTGCAGGAATACTCGAGGAGCGAACAGCTGGTTGACTGGATTTTCCTCCACGTGGAGCTGCAAAAAATTGAACATCACTGGATTTACGTTTACCTGGAACCTGGCGAGCATCCACATGTGGTAAAACTTCAGGTTCAGACTGTCGTGGAGGAGGATCTGCTGGAGCTGTCAATGAGTTCGGACGCACAAATGGTGGGACTGCCTTACCACCTTTCATCAATGGTTGACTCAAACTGGGCACAGTGGGGCGATGACTCACAGGAACTGGTTTTGGGGCACTCTGTCTTTTGGGGGTGGCTTGAGCGATTAAAATCCATTCATCTGTATCTGTGTCCATGTCGTGTCAACGCAATGAAACAACTTGAAATTTAACTGGAATCTGAGGTCGGCGACAAAGCAATGCTGGGAGTATCCACCGTCAAAAATGTCACACAAGGTCGATGAAAAGCGCAGCAAGTGATGCTAAAATGATACAGATCCCAGTTCAAAGTTGTCAGTATGGGACGTTCCCAGGGCCAGCAATCAGGTAGTGGGACGTACAGGAATTCGAAAATCACAGTTCTGATCTCTGCAGCGTAAACTGATTGATCTGCAAACACAAAATGAAAATGAATTTGGCCCACCGCCGCTGGCCGCAACATGCACGCCCGGGATCGGCCGGTAGTGCAATGAGAAATGTGGAAAATAGATGTGACATGAAAACACAGAAAAAAGGGTTCTTGAAAGCCCATGTAGTTGATGAAACTCCTGTGGAAACACGCTTGAAAAACGCATGACCAAGCATAAAACAAAATAAAGCACAAAGCATGGAAGCCAACTTGAGCCAAAATGGTACATCATAAAAGATGAATTCCCCCTACAACCAAAACATTAGTGAACAAGTACACTACACAACATGAGGGGCCATTTCGTTGTGGCTCTCTTTGAACTCAAAAACTCATTGGCCATGTTATCAGTACCTGCAGAGAGAGCCAAGGCCACTGTACGCCTCGCTGACGTAGGGAGAAGCCAGTCAAATGCAACCAGGGCGCAAAGCGAAGCTAAGAGCTCCGCTGAGGTCGACGCCCATTGCGCGCCGCCTCCATCAGGTTTGAACAGATAGGGAACCTGTGTCCTATCAAGCTTCAAAGAAAACCAACGTCGAGACTCCAACTCCCAACCTCCCAAAACTATAATGTCATGGGTGCACTTCGCGTCAGTCCTGAATTGCTCAGCGTTGTAATAGACAGGTCTCTTTGCAGAAATTAAGAAGGTTTCACCGGACATCTCAGCTGCAATGTATTGTAATGTCAAAATGACAGTATCCGGCAACCTCCCAACCATGCCAGGTGATGCAACAGCGCTCCATGCAAACAATGGCGACAAGTGTGGCTTGAGCCACGTCAGAAGCTGTGCCACGAACCCCAACCTGCCCAGGAATTCACTGAACTCCCTTGCTGGCACAACGTACCGCTTCTCCTCCAACGCACGAATCCAGTTGAGAAGCCATGACCCCCTTTTCTCAGTGATCCCAACTTCATTCTTGTCATAACGCAGATGGAAACCCACAAAGTCCGATGAGAAACCACCTTTGAACTTGTGGTAACCGAAGGGGGTTCCAATGACCTCGAAAGCCAACAGCCATACCCATAACAGCTCGAACTTGCGGGAGCCCGTAAACGCTCCATGCAAATCATCAACATAAACCAAATGCCAATAAGCTGCAGTTTGCATCACATGTCCAACAAAACGTCCAATAAGAGCAAAAAGCTTCGACCACCAGTAAGGGGCACTCGACACTCCAAATGTTCCCACCTTGTTGATCCAAACCACCTCTGATAGGGAATCGGCACGGCAGCACACATAGGGCCAATCTTCTTCCCTCAGTTTCACCAAACGATGTGCCGCTTTAATGTCGGCCGAAACGCAAAACACAGCCCCCCGGGTCTCCACCGCCTCTCTTACCACAGCAGCAACTTCTGCTGGTCCCGGGCACTGCAACTGATCCCTGTATTTGATTGCATGGTTAACCATCACAGAATGAGTAGCATCGTGAAGGGGCCTGACACCACCATCAGGCTTGCTAATTGCTGCCATTGCCGCCACACGCAATCGCTCACCGTGACGAGCCTTCAAAACAGACATCTTAGAAGGCTCCATACGCCCAAGTGTCTCCTCTTCCCTGAACTTATCTTCCAACTCCTTGGCCGACAATTGTCCTGAAATGTAATTGTCAGCAATGGGGTTGAACTCCGTCCCATCCAACTTTCGGTGCTTCACCTTCGGCGGGAAAACCTGCGGTGTTCTTGGCAAAGGATCATCCACCCCAACATTCACCCCAGTGGCAAATGAATCTGTCGTGTTAACCAGGCAGGCCACATCAGGGTCTTCGAAAACTTCCAGCCATTGTGACAAGAGCCGCAATAAGAAGGGCTGCCCAGTATCCACTACCATCGCTTCAGTGGGGTCCCTCAAAAGTGATGCCACCTGGGACCTGACTTTGTGGAGCAACTCTGGGGAAAAAGGGGAAGCCTGGAGTTTCCCTGTAACCAACTTGAAGGCCTCCCGTCTGACATCCTTGATTGCATCCATCACCGCAGCATGTAAACGTTTGTAAGTCTCGGCTGCAAGAGCTTTCATGTGTGGCTTCCTGTTGTGGCCCCTAGACTGCGGGGCCCACCTGGTAGGTGAGCACATTCCAAATCCATCCACAAAGTCATGAGTCTTGCCATCCCATTCCACTTTGATGGGAGGGCCAAAGTTGCAACATGCTTCCATGTCAAAGCCCTCATCAACATCCTCATTTGCATCTAACTCCCCAACCTTGGAGTCCTCACCAGTCAAATCAACTGTGCCACTCTTTGAAGCGCCCTCCAGTGAACTAGTGAAGGCAACCGTGCAACTCTTTGAAACCGCGCCAAGTGAAGCAGAGGAACTTCCTCTGCAAGTTGTGGTCGCTGTGTTGTTCTGCTCAAAACTTGAACCCTTGTTGGAGGAACTTCCTCCTTTGCCAGAACTCTGCTCAAAACTTGAACCCTTGCTAGAGGAACTTCCTCCCTTACCAGAACCTTGTTCTCCAGATGTCCCAACAACTTGCTGGGGTTGGTTCGACTTCCCCCTTCCGCAGGATGCTATTGCATTGAGGACCAACTCAGCCAAAAATCGGCAGAGCCCCGGCGGGTATGATGCGCTCGGGCTTGTATTCCACTTATTTGCAGTCTTCCCCAAAAGCTTGTGTTGGTGGTAGTGGCCGCATGATTTTGGAAGGGGACCTTTGTACGCCCCAAGCTTGTCCAGACGAGGCAGTCCAAAATGGCACCTGTCATCCTGAAACTCAAACGTAGACAGGAATCTGGTGGGCTTGGGTGTAAGTGCGCCAAAATGGCATTGCTGGATGGCAAATGTATTTGCACTGCACGAAGGTATCAATTCCAAAATTTCCGTCCACTGCCATATTGAGCCCGGACGTTCACCTTTCACAAGACCCAAATCCTCAGGATGTTCAATGATAAATTTCCCCCCTGCTGTATGGCATGTGACACAAGCTGTAATGCACCTGTCCACAAACAAATTCGCTTCCTCCACGACAGTCTTGTGGTGCCCTGCCAACCAAGGGAAACCGCGCGGCCACATGAAATTCCGCAAAGGCCTAGGGCCGGGGGATTCCAAGAAATGAAACCTTGCCCGTGAAAAAGTATTGCACGGCGGTGATACCAACAGAAACCATCCACCCTCTTTGAGGGTACTCCAAATGTCTTCCCAGATGGAGAGGTCTGTCAAGTCATGGTCTGGTGAAAGCTCCAAGTCATACTCCTTAAGAGTCAGTTTTATGCGCCCTTCGTCATGGGCCTGCTGTAAAAAGGAAGCCACATCAGACTGACGTCTTTTCCCAGCGAACAAATACATAACCTTCACTTCGGGAGGTTCTGCAGAGTTGGGGTGTGATCCAGTGCTGGCTGCTGGGGTGTCACACCCATCCCGTCAATTGTTGCCGCGTCCTTTGTCTTTGTCCCTATGTTGGATTGCAGGGTGATCACCATAGCAACCCTTCACCCTGCACTGATGAACTCTGTTGCAACTGTTGTCACATGACCCAGAATTGTACGCAAAGCAAAGGTCCCGGCCATCCGGTGTCCTCCATGCCAGTTGAAGCCCAGCCAAGCGCTGGTCTTTGCCTTTCGACTTTCCAGACTTTCCTTTCCCTTTGGAGCCCTGTGCATTGGATTTTCCAGAGGAAAAGGAACCCTTGCTATTGAACCTGGGCCATTTGTTCTGTGGAACTTCTGAGGCGGCTGCACGTAGAGCAACAGGAGTGGTGAAAAATGCCTCCTTAAGATCCGCATCCTTCGTCACAGCCCGCAAGGCGTTTGCCAGAGTGTATCCTTCGTTTACAACCAGTCTCATGGCCTCTTTCCTCAACTTGTGTTCAAATGATAAAACAATCGCCCAATCAGGTTTCACCCTTTGTTGCCCTCCATCACTTGTAGGTATCTGTATGCCCAATACACGCTCCCCCAAAATGAAATCCACAAATTTGTTGAAGTCAGACGCCTCCAATCCATGAAGCCAATTCTTCGCCCTGTACCGTGCTGACATGCACAACCAAGCAAACATCTCGACCCTCATGACCTTTCGATACTCTTCTGTATTGCTAGGCATCTTCGCTTTGTTCTTCGTCCTAGTCACCCTCAAGTGCCCTGAAGTGTCAACAGAAGACTGAATTGTGGAACTTGCATTGTCACGTTTGCTAATGATCTCATCCAAGGGCGATGCCGATGGCTCGTTCAGCTCCGTCTCCTCAGCCTTCAACGCAAGGTAATCTGAGCTCGGCGTCTCAGACTCGCCCAAAGTCCCGTGAATCCTTTCCACAGCACGAATCATTGACTGTCGCTCGTGAGACTGCAAGATCTTTGGTTGACCTAGTACCTTTGCCTCAGCCCGTAATTCAACTTCTTTGGAAACAAACTCCTTTGCTGTCTCCCAGGCCGCAACGATCGCTGCAACCTCTGCCCTGTTATCAGGAGTATCCTGAGGGATGGCAAAGTCTTGTAAACAAGCAACTCTCAGCTGTGCACGATCGTCCCCAATTGCATTGAACTTCTTAAGTGATCCATAACGCCTGGCAATTGCCGCCTGGCGATGCAACGAAACTCCACTCTCACTCAAAATGAATTGAAGGTCTGCATCCATGTTTTCAGCAATGAAATCCCTGTCATCTTGATCTGGGTCACCAGCCATTGCTGCACTGCCGAGAGTTAAAGAGAAAAACCAAAACACCAAGTGAAGTCAAAACAACCAAGAAATGCACACTGAAACAATCTGCCAACGCCTAAACGTCAAGTGAAATCAAAGCAACTGGAAATGCAAATGAACCAGTCTGCCAACGTCTAAACGTTTGACAAGTGGCACCCTACGGTCTGAGCCACTTTCAAAACATGATCTGAATCAAGTCTGCCCTTCAGCTGTCGCATTTCACCCTGAGGTCTAAAGCCAGAATTCACAAATGACAAGCTGAAATCACAAGTGAAGATTGTCTGAACAAAAGAAGCCTCAGCTCAATGAAATCACCGCACAAACTCAAACAAGTGAAAATCAAATGGTCACTGCGACACTTGGACAAACCACATGCGTCAAAACGCCAAGAACCCCTTTTCTCGCTGACCTGTTGTCATGAAATGCACACTGGTGGAACTGTGCCCATCACCAAGCTTGGAAAGCAAATGAGAAGAGGGGGAAACTTCCAGAACTCAGCCACAGCTAAGTACCCACAACTGCCCCTTCAGCCGCGCTGGCTGTTGATGAAGAGGAAGCCGTGGAACTGGACTCAACGCTATCGTCCTTCCCATTCTCAGCCAACATCTTCCTCTTGCATGCTCTGCAAATGGAATCGAAATCTTCATTTCCCACCTCATCCAGCACGCGCACTTCCGTGCAATTGGAGGGCTTGACAAAACAACCCGTGAGGTGGAGACGACGAAAGGCTGTGCGTCTCGAAATTGTCACAAAGAATTTTGCAACGGTCTTGTCCGCTGCTTCAGCACGTGCCTTTTGGTCCTGAATGTTCGCATCAAGGGTCGCCTCATCAGCTTCATTGTCTCCGACCTCAAACCAGTCGTCTGGCAGCACCTCCAGTGTTGGGAAAACCCCACCAAGACTGTACCTGCCAGACAAGTTCGAAGAGACCATGTGCCTCTTCCTGATCCTGTTCCGGTTTGCTCCTGAATCTTCTGCCGACTTGCAAAGCCTGTCAATGGCTTCATCTTCAAAATACTCCTGATCAAGCCCCGTAACAATTGCTTTGTTGACTGCTTTCTGAATTGTGAACACCACCTGTCTGGAAGTCCTCACATACTCCTCCGATGCCACCATTCCCATTGCCCAGCGGCCCAAGTAGGCACGTTGATCCCGATGGAATCCAATTGCAGCTGCAACTGAAGTCAAGAAATTACGAGGGCTATGGCCAGTGAAATGACTCTCCAACCCATCAGGCAGGAGAAGTGCCCCCGCATTCATCACCCAACCGTCCAAATGCTTCTTTGGGACAGGCAGGTCACTCAGCAGTTTGCCAATCAAAGAACTCAAACCAGATGGGGGGACAAACTTCCGTTTCACAGATTCCCAATTTGAAGATGGTTCCATCACAAAGTAATCCCTTCGGAAATTGAACAGCTCCGACTCCCAGATCCTGTAACCGATGCCCAACCAATCTTCACCAGAAAGAGAAACTGTTCGATACACATGCACCGACACCTCCTTCTGAATTTTGTCAGGCCCAGAAGTCTTGGATTTCCCCAGCACCAAACGGAGTCCATAATTGGACAACGTCGACCTGTGCGCCAAAACAGACTGCATGTCATCGCACCTCATTGAGCCCCAAACCATCACCAAAACGACCCATGCCAAAGCCCTGGCAAAAATGCGCTGTGACTCATCTGAAACCACCAGCTCAAGCGAAAGGATCATTGCAACTGTATACATCTCAGCAGGCTTGACAGGCGGAGCATCCTCTGCCAGTTCCGCACCCCAAGCTTTGATGTGTGAAATCCAAAGCTGTTCTTCTGATAAACGCTCCCCCTCAGGAACACGCCCCAACTGTTCAATCAAGCACAGTGAGATATGAAAACTCTCAGGAACGGTCTTGCCGCAACCTTCACTGACTCGATGCTGCATGTAATCAATGATGTCTTTCAACTGCACTGGAAACTTTCTTCCAAAATGAAGCTCCAGCCAAACTGCAAAGGGCCTCCAGGCCTTGTAGCGGTTCTTCAAGGTGTTGCACCTCCGAGTCCCAAACAGATGAATCCAACCTTGCTGTGGATTGTCGAGAGTCTGAATCAAAGAAACAACAGGTAACTCAGCATCGATGATGACCTGTGCCAACAGTAAAGTGTATTTCTTCCGCTCGGCGTCTGCACGCTTCGAACGGGACTCTGCATCTTGTCTGAACACCTTCTGACGTTTCTTGGTGCGTGCTTCAATCAATGAAACAACGTTGGTCTGAACCAGCTTCTTGTAAACCTCTTGAACTGAGCTCCCAGCAGGTTGTAAGGGCAAATAAAGGGCCCGCTCCACAACTTCCAGTCTGGCACGTTTGCTAGATCTAAAATTGTTGTCCTTCCACAACATTAGAATTGCAACCTGATTCATGACTTCTTCAGCCACCATGTCTGGAAAAATTGACTGTATCAAGTCCGCAGCATCCAAATCAAGATCAAAAGCAGCGTCAAGATGCAATGGCGACTTGAAATGTTTCTGAAAACAAATGAGGAAGTCCTGTCCTACCTCCGGCCAATCCAATGCCATTGCATGGGCCCCACCGTCCAACTCAGGTTGGAAGCAACGCGCCCCTACCTAACTTCAAATCTGTGAGCCTGCGCTCCTCGAAAATATGTATTGAGTTCCAGTGTCAAATCGACATCTGACAGAAAACGAACTGACCAGCAACATTCCAGCAGATTCAAAGTGTTGTAAATCTGATATCCAAAAGTGAACTTCCAAAAGTCATCTTCCAGTAAGCCTGTAAAGTCAACGTATTGTATTGTAGTCCCAGTACCAAAACTGAAACAGTTGCAGGAAATCCCAGAGCAACATGACAGAAATAAACAGCACCAAAAGTTTAAGTGTTTGTGTTTGTAGTTTGTGAACCCAATCGCTACAAACGCAGTTGCCACAACCCACGAAGAAAGCGTCTACACGCACAAAGTCCCCACCCACCCACCCAACACATAGCACCGTATAGACTCACGGGCGCGCCCTATGAAGCTGGACCCGCACAACGGCACTTTCCTTTGCTGCCGAAATGGACGGACATGTCTTGGGCACACTGTGTGCAGTGACAATGGCATTACTCACCAATCGGTTGGACCTGTGCATTCAAGGACTCTTTGGTGCAGGCAAGTCAAAATCGATGGCAGTCCTCATTCTTTTTTTTTCTCGAGTGTGGCCGATGTCGCGCTAAAGGCTCGGTCCTTACATGAGAATAAGCTGGAAATACATTTGTACAAGGACAAGAAAGTCCTTTAAGGCGGCAAAACGATGGCAGTCCTCATTCTCGCACTGATCGAAATCGATACCACCAATAGCCTTAAGATATTGTTTATATGCAAGGAAAACTCAGGCACTCGATCCTTGCTATGTTTCTTGTTGACGTGTCACTCCTTGGCACAAAACAGATGCGGAGTCGCATGTTGACATCTTTCTGTCAACTTCACGAAAAAAACGATCAAAAACACATGTCGTCACAAAAAGTCTTTACATTAAGACATGGTTTGTTTGTTCAAATAAGTTTGAGTGCTCGAAAAACGTTGAAACATTTCAAACACCAAAACATGTTCTATGATGTCTCCCTCAGATTTGTTGGCAACAGTAATTCTGAATTCTTTCATCATTGAGAGACAAAAATCAAACTAAACTTCGCCGATCAACGCCAAACAAAGTTCCTTCTTCCGAAGTCACAAAATGAATTCTACGAACTAATTCTTCGTACTCTTCTTCCGTTTCCTCGTGCTCTTCGTCGACGAAACCTAAGGTGAAGGATATGGAAAATATACTGATTTTCCATTTCATTCTACGGAATCAAAGCATCACTGCATTCTCCGTGCAATCAAAGTAGTCAAAGAAGATGAAAAACATATCGTTGCAAGGTTTTGCCATCTCCAATAAAAGCTGCATCCTATGGGACATGCAAAAACAATGTCAACCATCACGGCTGAGCTCACCATCAAGGTGAAAAACAAATTCACTTCTTCCAGTGCAGAAAAGACCAAATGGATTCATCTCACTCACAAGCGGGAAATTTTCACACCCCCTTTTGAGACGAACTCCATCACAGCTATCTATAGCTATCTGTGCTATGTATCCATCTGTAATCCAGTCAGACTTCGACAAAACAGATTCTGCCAAAGCTTGTCCAGAAAATACACTGTTGAGCTCTTAGCCAAAGAGCTGTATAGCATACACCCATCCAGTTCGACAGTCTTTCAAGAATTTCAACTGTCCACATATAATGGGATCCTTCATAGATCCAACCACCATCACAGTGTAATCAATCACAAAACTCTCGATGTATAGAAGGGCACATTAGCCGCTTTGCAGTCCACCAAATCTCGGGCTTTGATGTACCTTGACCAGTCCAAGGCAGGATCCTTCGAAGAGTCTTTGGTCAAATGCTTTCGACACCATGAGACATAGTTGGGATCTTTCTCGAAGACGGTATGATAATTTGTCTTCTCCTTCTCATACTTTCCAAATGCAAACTTGGTCTTTCCCCACATAGCCATATTGGTAATACCAGCTGGAAGCAAGGCCTTTGTGGCCAAATCTTCGGTGCCTCCCACAGGCTCCATGAAACTACTTCCAACCACCCAATCTGACTCTGTGTCAACTTCAAACTCTGTATCTTCAACTCTGCGCTTCGATGCATCGGTCATTGCACCACTAGATGCAGCTGTCGGCAATGGCATCTGAGAAGTACGATGGTGTGCCAACTGCTGAAACATCTTCTCATCCTCAATGCTCCAATTGGCTGAGGCCATGGCTGCAAAAATAAAACGCGTCCGGTAATGAAAAAGCACTAGTCCGTGGCCAAACTCTTAGGAGCAATCAACCTAGTGCATGAAACGAAGTGTCGAACCGCCATCACATTCGTGATCACATTCGTGATAGGCATAATGACTGTTCAGATTGTTTTGCGTCGCGCGCCGCATCTTACGGCATCGCGCAACAAAACTCTGCACAACTGAAATGAAAACTGTGAAACTCCTGTTTGTCTTTGGCAACGTTTGTTTAAAACAACATGCAAAACAGGTACATGAAACAAAACGTCAACTTCTGCTTCCCTACCCCCTTTCAAACGCAAATCTCACTTCTTTGCAGCATGCTTGACTGCAACCAAAATGTATCTTGCCAACTTTCTGTTGTAAAACGCTGTCTCAGTATAGTTGATTTGATTAAGTTCTGCATGAGTCTGGCATGTACATGTTGAAAGTTTGGAGTGAAGATTTGTTGAAAATGAAACTGAATTGGAAACAAACTTCAACGTTTTCCAAATTGGAATACCATTCTTGTTCTGACATCCAGTTTTACACAACCTCACCAAAGCCTGATGCCTCATGTCAAAACTCTCCAAAAGATTCACTGTCTCAGGTCGGGACCAAATGGCATTTCGTTCTGGAAGCTCAAACGAACATGAGTCTGCATGTTTGAAGTAACCACCAATCGCATTGATGATCTCATCCCATTCCTGGTCTTTCTCAGTGACTGAGTCCTGATTGAGGTTGCGAAGCGGACTTCCACTTCCACAAGGAGTCGATGCATGAATATGCACCCAAGGTGGACATGAAGAGTTCTTCCACTGTCGGATGCAAACAGCTACACGACTCAACGTTCCAGAACTCTGCACCTTGGCAACTACACCAATGTATGGGACCTTTGAAACTTCACAAACCTTTCTCAAGTTCGAGTGTTCCGAACAACACAGTTCCACAATCGCAATTGAAGAACCCTGAGTCAACACCTGCTGCAACACGCACAGCTCACGAAGTTCTGCTAGCTCAGCTGTCAAGCCATCTGGAACAACAATCCCAAGAGCATACCGGTGCTTAAAGAAAGCTTTCGCGCTCAAGCATTTAGTGAAAAGATCTGCTGGATTTTCAACACCACTTCTGTGTCTCAATTTCAACAAACTCTCTCTCATCTGCTCTCGCAACCAATGCAATCTTATTTCAATGTGTCGCGAACGTCGTGGCACCTCCATGGATCTCACAAGTTGCAATGCGGAGCTTGAATCACTCTCCAACCAAATCACAACTTCTTCTGGCTCATCGATCTCATGAAGTGCAAAAAGAAGACGGTGAACCAATCTTCCAAACGCAACACTTTCTTGACACACAGATTGCAAACCATAGAGCTCTGCCTCACATGAACTCAGACTCAAAGCTTGCTGCTGCCGGCTCAGTGACCTTACCAAAGATCTCTCAAAGAAAACAGCCCCACCGCTGACACCTTTACGGTTGTTAAAGCGATACGGCGCATGTGATTCGTCGCTGAAAGAGTGAAGATGGACTGATCTCAGTTGAGCATCGTCAACCTGACTCATGATGGTCTCATCCCTGCTCGGTAGACACAAGCATGCATGCATGTCAACATACAAGAATCTCAAGACTGCTTTCAATGCTTGTTCAGTCCCGTGCATCGGCTTCGCTTGCTGCGTTCCAAGAACAGACATCCATGTTTTCAGGTCATGTCGTACCTGTGACTGCCAAAGCAATTTTCCCAACGCCTTCCTGAAGCGTGAGTATGCTTCATCTGTCAAGGGTTTCTGAAAGTTGCTATCCGTGAGTGTTTTCTCAAGATGCCCAGAGATGTTAGGCACATTCTCAGACCCACGGGTAACACCATAATCCAGAAAACGTAGAGTCAAGATGGTGTGGATCAACCCAGAGTGATCTCAGAGGAATCTCTTTCTCTTCTAATGACACGACCAATAAAGGTCAATGAGCCTCCCTCTTCTCCGATCTCTCCAGTGGTTTTCACAGGCACCACAGACGACGAGGGCGGGCCCACCCCCTTCGTCGAAGGGGGGCTTGAAGGGGGGCTTGAAGGGGGGGCTTAAGGGGAGGCTTGAGGCGGGGCTTAAGGGTTCATGAAGGGTTCCCCCCCCCTTCCCCCCCCTTTCCTCCCCCCCCCTTCCCCCCCCTCCCCCCCCTTATGGTGAAGCCCTTAAGGGGGGGCTTAAGGGGGGCTTAAGGGGTGGCTTCAGGGGGGGGCTTAAGGGGGGCTTCAGGGGCTCAAGGGGGGGGCTTAAGGGGGGGCAAGGGGCTGCTACTACTGCTACTACTACTACTACTTTTCTTGGTCCGCATTGCGGGGGGATTCGCTGCGCCCTCCCCCCTGCACCCCCCCACCCGCTTTTTTTAACAGGCTCCCCTTGCTGGCTACTCCTGGACTCCTACGTCCTTTGTTCTCATATGCATCGTTTTTACTACTACTACTACTACTACTACTACTACTACTACTACTACTACTACTACTACTACTACTACTACTGCGACTGCGACTGCGACTACTACTACGACTGCGACTGCGACTGCGACTGCGACTACTACGACTACTACGACTACGACTACTACGACTACGACTACTACGACTACTACGACTACTACGACTACTACGACTACTACTACTACTACTACTACTCCTACTCCTACTCCTACTCCTGCTCCTGCTACTACTCCTGCTACTACTACTACTACTACTGCTACTACTACTACTACTACTACTACTACTACTAGGACTACTACTAC